ACATGTAAAAGCTGTAAACATAATCTTGCAGCTATGCGAAATATATTTTAGCATGATTTCTTCTCTTATAATTTACATGAGATGACGCCGAACCTCAGACATCTGTCCACAAAGGTGAGCTGAGAATGATTTTATTGGAGATAAACTGTGGATTTTTAATACGCTTATGTGCTGTTACGCATCTAATCCAGATTCAATTTCAGCTAAATGTCAAATTACAACCAAGAGAAGGTCACTGACAACCAGAGGAAATTGATGATGCATTTTGGCCTGCTACCAGACCAAGTGCGCGGTTAACTTGATTTTAGCTCATATCCAGTCGAACCAAATAATTTAATCTAATATTTATAAATTCATTCTAACTGTACTGACGCTGTGCTCACTTCAAGTGTTTTGAGTTTGTTTTTATTTATTTATCCCCTCACTTGTACTGAAATATCTACAGGAAAAGATTATTCCGAGGCAATTTGTCTTTAAACCGTTCTGCTTATCGCTGTCGTCTATCTTGTATTCACATAAGGGTCCTATCTCATACATCCTTTGGTAAATGCCTTGAATCTCACGGCTTCTTTAACTTGGCAACCCCTTCAGGATGAACAGGCAAGTGCATTAAACAGAGATGCCGCACCATTCTCAGAAAAATGCAAATTGAGAAGTTGTTAGTTATTTGATGTTGCTGCACGAACCTCCTCCCCCTCCCACCCCACTTAGCCGCCCCCGATACATCCCTCCACTCCAGTGTTGGTGGTTGAATCGCATGCAGTCCCGGGGACAGGCAGGCGTGTTTATATGCAGGCCTGGAGCAGCGAAGACAGCGCAGAGACAGATGCATGTCAGAGATAGCAGATCCCATCGGAGGCAGATGCCTCTTATCACAGGCCTGTTTGCATAATTAGGTCTTTTGATATTCACCCCCTCTGACTGACAAAAAGTATAATTGAAGTATCAAGTAGGACAAAAGGTAGGCACAAAATAAACAAGTCAACACAAACGGGGAGAAAAGATGTGGTGTTATTTTTGTCCTGTGGGAAAAAAAAGAAGGAGGAAAAAACAGCATTTTGAGCTAAATCTGCTGTCAGTCACAGTCAACTGGTGTGACTCGGTGCGCAGAGGCTGGTCCTGTGAATGCCTGCAAAACACAGAGCGTGAGGCCCGATTGTAATTATGCTGGAACTAATATGCTTTTCAAAATGAGCCATTATGAGCTAATGCTGCACTGCCAAAGCCCTGTCTGTTTTTGTCCCTCCGTCTTGGATAGTTTGCAAAGGTATCGCTGATATTGCGGCTGGGGGTTCTGATATTAAAGAAAAACTGTGATGGGAGCTGCTTTACTTTGAGTGTTTACAGGTGCCACAGAGACGAGGGATGTGAAGCACCTGTGCTACTGTAAAACACTGATTCTTGTTCACCTTCCTTATAGCTTTTCAGTTTATTTTTCTTTTTATTCTTGAAAAACAATATTACATCACAAAGTTTTACTATCTAGCTTACTTTTAAACACACATTTCATATGTGATTGTAGTCATTATTTCTTGTAAACATAGTTGGTTTACTATAAATTGCACTGTTTTAGCCAATGTGTTTCAGCAGCTTGTTAGACATGATGTTTATTGGTGTTGTTACGTATCGTAAACTTGTACCTTTACAGATCGCTGGTTCGGGTGTTAATTGCCACATTGAGTGGACAGCTGTCCATTTAATTAGCATTACCTCAGCATCTTAGGGGGTAAAAGTGGAGAACTGGAGGAGGTGAAGGCCTTAAAAGGAGTAGCACGGAGGAGGGGGTCCACATGATGACTGGTTTTAGGGGAACCATCGTGTGATGAGGATCCCATCTGCCTGAGGTCTGTCTGAAATGTCAGCAGAGGAGAGCGAGGGGAGATAAACCTCACAGCAACCTCAAAACTATTAACTGCCCGTTTGGGTCCTTCAAGAGCAAGAACTGTGTTTTATCTAAAAGGTCCGGTCAGATTTAAAGCATCATTAAAGCAGAGTCACAGCAGGGTGAAATGATGTGCTTTTCTTAATAGAGTTCATTTGCTGAAACACCAAATTAGACAACGTCAGCCGCCTGTTCTTGTCTGAGCAGCATGTCAAAGTTTTGCTCAGTTTTCCCTGTTTTAAATGTTCGCAGCTTTTATGGTTTGGTCGGTAGTTTTTATTGCATTCTGATTCCAAGCAGGCTCGCTTTTTTCCAACATTTCAACGTGCAAAGGAAATGAAGGAGAAAAGGCAAAGCTTATCACATCTGGAAGTTATTTGAAACTAATTGTAAAAGGTTGTGAAACATCTCCAGAAGCTAAACAAGCAATTTTTTGTTCTCATTTTAGTTCTTTTTTGCTAAGAGCTGTGTTTTTTTTATTTATTATTTTTACTATTTACAATGAAAGTTTTGCATAATTTCCTGTTAGTAAATTGAAGATTATACGGTGAACATTTAAATTACATCTGAAACTGATGTTTGCAGGGATTACCACTAGCCTTCAGTTTTTAATCATTCAGATTTGTAATTGCAAATTAAATATTATTGGTCAGCCAAAATGTTTAACTTTCCTGCATTGAACGTATATGTTTCAGAAGACATGAGGTGTAATAAAATAGGGATTAAGTAGCTTTTCCTTAGACTGCCTCTGGTGTTTTTTTATTATTTAAAGCCTAATCTGGCATTTACCTTGACGAACCAGAGTTTAAACCTGATTATTCCTATTTTTAATGACCACAATTTCAAATCAATATTAAGGTAAAACCTTGGAGGGCCCCTGAAGGAGGATACACAGCACTAATTGTGCCCAGTGGATGGCGCATAATTAGATTCTAATTGGACAATAAGTAATGAGACAAGGCATGAGTGGTTTACCCATATCTCATGAACCTTTGAAAGAAAATTACAGCAGGTCTATTGTGCAAAGGTCTAATCAGAATTTACCTTTTTGTGCCCAGCAGAACATTACAAACAGTCCTGCAGGGATTTCATGCAGAAGGATTTAGTCTTTGTTGAGCCATTTTGCAGAAAATAACCTTAATAGTGTTTTTTGCTGGTGTGTGTTCAGCTTCTGTATTGCATCTGTGAGGAAAGCAGCTGTTTTTATTATTTTTTAAATTTTTAAGAAACTGTATTTCCTTTGCTGTTTAAATATAGTCAGCATATAGATGAGTTTTACTCAACCTCGGTCCCATTTGACTGCATCCAGGATGTGTCGTGTTCCATTTTCCCGTACTCATTACAGGCAGGGCTGTTGACCTTGTGCCTCTGCTTCTTGTACGAGAGCAGATGTGTTGGCTCTGCAGACTTAATGACCAGCAGGAGTACAAGCCATTGTCTGCTGAGGTTTATCAGTCATTAGCTTGGTGGCATGCTAAATGTGACACAATTTGCCACAGACATTTACTGGTGAAATAACGTCGGTGCAAGTGCCCCGAACAAAAAGAGAGGAGAAGAAAATGATTTGAGGAGAAGAGTTTCGCTCAGACACCCATCGAGCATGTGTCGACTCTGACCCCAACATCTCTCTGTAGGGACACAGAGGTGACTTTGGAAAATGATCTGCAGGCTGCTGGGCTGGTCTCAAGTGTGGTCACGGCGAGTTACAGAGCAAATGGATATACGCATCCTCATGAAAACCAACAAGGGGATATGTGGTGTATGTACATATTCAACTTTGTATGTTCAAGGGTGTTCGACAGCAGAGTGAGCTTGTGCTTCAAGAATCAATCTTTATTAAATAGGATAAGACTGAAGAATTGATTTAATGAATGCGGCCTCATGTCCTGCAGCCACATGTAATCCGCACAGAATCATTGAGCACGAGCTCAGGGGGACAAAAAATGTTCGCAGAAGACTCATAGAGTGGCCTGTAATGATAGTCTCCATATAATCCCATAATTCCTTGTTTAATTAAACTCTGGTGCTGGCCTTGAGACTCCGCCAGCTCTGTTGCTCTTTTGTTCTCACAGTTGTTATTTGGAGGCAAGGTCTGAGTGTTCTTTTGTCCACTCATGCTGAAAGATTTGACTAGAGCGAAATACAAACACTGCTGGGAGCGGTGAAACAACGAGTTAGGGGAAGCCGCGACGTTCAGGTGAGCATTTTCATCTGATCTCGATGTTAAGGAGCAGAAATCTCTTCATGCACCCTCTTCTTCAATACCTCCCTTTATTTCCCTTCTCCCACACTTTCTGGACTGTGCATGATGCAATCCAACTAGGCCTGGAGCAACACTGGCACATCACTCTGCCTTGTCAATGTCTCAATGAAGAAATTATGAAAATAAGAATTTTGTGACATGAAATGAAAAGGGCCATGTAGTTTGAATAGACATGCAGAGGAGGTGAAAATGATGCAATTTTCTAAATTCAGTTATAATGGTAATGCGCAATGGTAATGCGTATTTGCTGTCAAAAATTTCCCTGTCGGCCTGGATTGTACAGCTTTGTGCTGTATCTATGTTCCTCGAGCAGAAATTCAGCTTAGTTGAATGCCTAAAAAGTAAAGCAAAATGTGCTCTAATTCATTCAATGACAGCAGGTGGAAACACATGGGACTGAATGGTTTTGGTGTGATATTGTGCTTAGATTTATACACTTTGGCTGAGCTGTGTATGAGCAGTGTGCCCTGGGCCAATGACAGAGAGAAAGCAGGGTGAAGAGCAGCAAGGTGGCCTCTGCAGATTAACCCCTCTACCAGCTATCACCCCTTTCCTCCTGGGCTCTCAGCCTCCACAGCCTTTGGGGCCCCTCGCTCAGGCAGGATTGTATACCAGGGCCTCTTCTATATTAAATAAATATCCACAGATTAAGATAATATTCTCCCAGTTGTGTATTTAGAGATGAGTGGCTGTCATTCGAATCCTCTCTGATGCAAGCCCTGCGCTGTGAGTGTAAAAAAATGAGTCAGTTGTGAAATGCAGATAACACTGCTGTGTCCTACAAACTGTTAAGATACACAAAGACCTCTCAACTAGCCTTTACTTATGTGATCTGCCTCTTTCTTTTTACCGCAGGCAACCGCACGGACGAGGGTTCAGATGTCGATTCGGAGCCCGATTTGCCCCTGAAGAGGAAGCAGAGGCGCAGCCGCACCACCTTCACCGCTGAGCAGCTGGAAGAGCTGGAGAAGGCTTTCGAAAGGACGCATTACCCTGATATCTACACCAGAGAGGAGCTGGCTCAGAGGACAAAACTCACAGAAGCAAGAGTGCAGGTTGAACAATCATCAGCACACACGTTATGGTTTGATCGGTTTATCTCGTTGTGGCTAAAGTTTCTTCACTTCATCCCATTCTGCATGCCGTAAAGTTCATATGTGTGGTTTTTTGGATGCACTAACTCTTTAGGCACATGTGAAACTAATGTACAGTGTTAAAACTTAATCTTTCTATATCAGTGCATTCACATGTTCACATGCTGCAGAAATACACAATCTTTCACCAAAGGTTTGACTAAGTTTTTTTTTTTTTTGAACCACAACAATATATTCATCAATCAGGACTGTATTTCTTTTATATATATCATATTTCACTGTGAAATGCAACAGAGTTTGCAGTACTATGTTATCTTTCATGTTCAAGAGCTTTGACAGAGATACTTCCTCACTTCACACCCCAAGTCGACAGCCTGAGCTCCCTACAGTTGTGTGTAAGATTGAAGGAAGATGTGTACAGTAGAGCTACAGCAGCAGCTGTTCTTCCAAAGATGGGAAGAGAGGGGGAAAGAGGAGAGGAGAGAAAGGGAATACATTCCTGATGGATTTCTCATTTCGGCCTTTGGCCGGGATCTCATCCCACCACTTTCAAGCTTGCCGCTGCTTGTAAAATCCTTCCACATATCACCCAGAGTTCTCCATCCTCTCTAGGGACCTCATGCTCCGACAACAACATTAATCAATCAGCCGCTAGTAAAAAAAAAAAAAAAGGTCTGGGGCACCCCTCTCTTCTTACCACAGTGGTTCACACTCACTCTGAAACCGCCCAGACTTCTCACCGCATGCTAACTGTTCATCACAGTTTGGGTAACCGATTCCACACATGTCACTGTCCATCTTAACACCCCCCCCCCCCCCCCCCAACATGCACATCCAATATTTCTAAGGGAAGGAAAAAAATGTACATTCAAGTTGCTTGTATAAGAAATAAATGCAGTTAAAAGGTGGAAAACTGAAAGTTACAACAGCGATTTTTATCAAAGTGTACTCCAGCAAATTCAAAAGTAAACACAATTTGACATTTTATAAATTAAGTCGTAAAATGTAGCAGGAGAAATGAACAAACCAAGTGTTTTTGCTTTATATTTAGAATGATAATAAATGACACAATCTAATGTGTTGGTTTAGTCAGAGCCATCATGGAGGACAGAGACACCTCATGCAAAAGAACAACTAATTCTTGCCTGTTTTAATGCCAGTGTGTTGATGCAGATGTGTGCCAGAGGTGACTAAAAATGAGTGCAAGCAAAGAAAGCCACCAGAGTCACTGCTGTCTCCTCGCAGTTAGATAATAGACTTAAATGATGTCATGTGAAAACCTAAGGAATTTGTGTCATGGCTATAATTTGTTAATGCTGTTTTTCTCCTAATCTAATTCTGTAAAGCTTTGAAAGTCTCAAAAGGTCAACTCAAACTGGATTTTCCGAAAAGGTTACAAAGCAAAGAGTTCTGGAGGCTAAAATAAACAATGTCCTAAGCAGTGTTGCGGTTTCCATGTTTTAAGGAACACATGATTGAAACGCACTAAAGTTTGTTAACGTGTTCCGTCCTTGCACTTATTCAAACTCATCGCAAGTTTGTCTAACTACTAATGGCCGCTGGAAATTCCACATTCACGCAGTCATACAGCCCTTTGTAAAAGACGTGAACAGCTGACGTGAAACTCGATGAGGAAGAATGTTGATGAAATGTAAATTTGATGTACATGATAAGCTGTGCACCAGCTGGGTTTCAACACGGGTGCCCAAACGCTCCATCACAGGGCAAGAGGAAAGAGACCCTTTGGCCCGAGCACAAAGCTTCTCCAGCGCAGCTGCAATGACGCATCTTCCAGATGTCGTTCAGAGGCTGACCACAGTCTGAGACTGAGCGGGGAACTACAGGGGGCTGCAGAGGGGTCCCACACACGCTTATATTTTAATTTGTGCGAGCTGTCATGGTTGACTGTTCCCCATTTGTTATTAAAGATGGTGCTAATGTGGAAAGCAGTTTTGGGGTTGGGTGCAGATGTAATTTGCGTGGGTGGCACCTCTGTAAACAAGGCCTCCCTGGCAGTCAAAGCTGTAAATTAAAAGGCTGGATGCTCTTGGAAGTGATGAGTGTTTGGCTTAGCACTGACTCACAACCTAAACTCATAAACAGAGCTAACTGCCTCGCGTCTGCCCTCGCCGCTTTCACCATCTATCTTGATCAGCCCCTCTGCTCCCCCTTTTTTTGTTAGCAGAGCTACCGGTACTCCTTTACCACCACAAGCCGTGCAGTGGTTTTATCACCCCGACTGACAAATTGTGGGATGTGATCCATATCTCTCAGCAATTAGTTCCAGGTTGTCTCCATAGGAGGGGATGCTGCCAAGTCTACCTTCACTATATACTCAGCTGATGCTGCTCTGCCACTTTCCATCTGATAACCCCTCAGTTTTAACAGGAGCAGGCAGGAAAGTCATTCCGTGAGAGCGTTGTTTGCGCCCTCAGAGGGACCAGGTGGGGAAACACAGAGATGTGCAGGCAATAGGCTGCAGGTCACTCTAAATCAGCTCTCACACATGAAGCAAATTACATTGACTGGACTTTTTTAACAACCTGAGTCCTGCGCTGGAGCTCATCATCTCAGTCATCTTGTTTAACCAAATGTGTCACATAGGTCCTCTTTCATTACCAATAAACATTCTCCATGTGGCTATTATAGTTAGTGGAATCTAATAAGGCATAAGCATAGCTTTTTACGAAGCATGCAAATCAATTTTGTTAAAAAGGGTCCCTTTATCTCTGGCTTGCACTGAATGAGAACACGAAGAGAATTTAGCGTGAGCGCTAGCCTCTCTACCTTACATAGGTATAAAAATGAGCTCAATTGTACGCAGGTGCTTTTAAAAGGGGATTTTAAACAGATGATAAAACATATAACACACCCTGGTTGTTGTGCAATCAGTCATGTTTCTGCACTAAAAGAAAAAATAATAAAAGAAATCCCACTAGAGCCGAGCAGGGAAAACCAAACCCAACAGGCAGCTGTATTCCCGCCAGTGCGGGTTTACTTTTTCATAAAGGAATAAATAGGATTTGTGTAGATTGTCGGGGAGAAATTGTTGCAATGCATCAGTGTGAATGTTCTAACACTTTCTTATTATTAGAATTTAAATGACTTTGGTACAGTGCTTCTGTACTCCTGATACTTATCAAACTAATCCCACTCTCCTCACAAATTCACACTCCTAGCTACTTTAATTAGCATAGTGCCAGTCTGGAAGGCAGGCAGGGAGGGAATCAGAGGGGAAAGAAGAGAAGAGGAGGAGGATGTGTGAGGCAGGGGGAGGGTATTGCGTGGTATGAGACCGAAGAGGATTTGTATGTTGAAGCCAGTTGCATCACCCCTCTGTGTTTTTATGGCTATGAAGTCAGCAGCGCATTTTGTTTTGTCATTATCTCTCGGCTCTTGGTATTCATCTACCGAATGTTGCAAATTGGCTCCTGAAAGGCGTCACACATTCAGGACTTGTCTTTGGTTAAAGAATTCATGGAGGATTGTCTAAATGGGCAATTCTAAAATATAAATGATCCTGTTTAAGGGAAACAACACGGAGGGTTTTTTACTGCAGTGCAGTGTCACGCCTTTACAATGTTGCAGTGAGCATGTGTTATCACCGATCAGGAAGAAAACACAACCAAATCACTTATAGGAATCAATTCTGTTGAAACTGAATGGAGGATTAAAACAAATGAAGCAATATACTTGGCCAAACACGACCCAAGGACTGAATTTGTGTTGCTAAACTAGATATAAGCACTTTGGTAACAGCTGCTGTTTTAAATGTGCTTTATGAATCAAGTTGACTTTATTTTAGGCTTTTATCTGATCATATAGGTTTCAATATCGCTCTGATGTTTCTTTAAAACTACAACAACTCTGGTCTTTTCTTTTCTCCTTCTCATCTGTTTTCTCCAGCAGGATTGAACTAGACTTTTGAAGGGTTTACAGCTCCTCTCTCCCCTTCCCTCTGCCAAAACTTTCTCCTCCAGAGATGCAGACCTATCCAAACACACACTAGATACAGGCAAACATTTATTTAGTTCATGAAAACAGAGTCAGAAGTGAGCCACATGAATTCGGGTGCACACTTGTAGGTAAACAGGAGGACACAGAGGAAGCCCAGTGAAGAATTAAAACCGGATTGGGGAGAGCATCTCTGTTCCAAGGTGACTTTGTGATCAGGTTCCAGAGCACAGCCTCAAATCCTCAGCTTCAGGCTGTGTTGGGCTGTGTGAGACGTGTGCTCATAATATGTGCAGGTGTGTGATCGTGTACACACGTGCAGTGCCACTCGAGTGCATGTTTATCCCCGTCTGTGCTGAGAGTGATGTTCGTTGGAGAAAGCCACTTTGTGTTTGCCGCCTTTTGTTCCCCACAAATGAGACAAAACATGCTGAATATTGCATTTTAATCAACTTTTTGAGATTTTAGTACATTTAGAATCCAATAATGGTATATTAAACTGAAAAAAAAACTAAACTTTAATTCATAATTGTCATCTTGCTGCTTGAATGTCATGCAAAAGATTTAAAGGCCTGCAAAAGCCAATACAATTTAGAAGAAAACAATGCATTTTTTTTATTACAACTAGGGCAAAACATTGTTAAATATGTGTTTTGTGTTGTGACTTTTAAAACAATGCATTTATTGAGAAGTCACGTAACTATTATTTTAAATTCAGCATCTTTTAGCATAGTAACACAAGCACAAATATTTATATTTAAGGCCTTGTTTTAATATTTACCACTATCCAATAGCAAACTGAATTAGATGTCCTTTTTTGTTTTTGAACAAATCTAAAGGTTTTGTCAAGAATTACGTAGAAAAAGCAGAAATTAAAATACCACATTATGCAAGTGAAAGCAAAAAAAAATGACTTAAAATCTTGTGTTTTTGTGTTTGCTGATGACAAAGAAAAGAGGAAAGGAAGTTTAAGTGAGCATGAAAGGAGGTTGGTGTAAGTGGATGAGGTCGGAGGTGAAGTGGCACTGCGGGGTGGGGTGACTGGGAGTGTGTGGAGGGAAAGGTTGTCCCCACACACCCACCCCCACAGCCAGACAGCTGTTTGTCTGGCCCAGTTGGAGCTTAGTTCAGACCATCGGACCACGCTCCACTACATCCCAATGGTGGAAGTTTTCGGTGAGCTGCACTTTGCGTTTGTTTAGAAACAGCAAATTGAGGGGTTCAGACTGGGTCGTCGGAGGCAGTGGAGCTTGAGATAATGACTTCCTGTTGGTTTTCCACTTGTTCAACCTAGATTTGTCCTTTTCTCATTTGACGACACAGTCACTGCCTGTTGCATCTTATTTTCTTCCTTGTAAACTGAGCAAAAGGCAGAAAAAACAGCCCTTTAGAAGCAACAGCTGTGGGGGTAAAAGAACATTAAAATTAAGATCTCTGTTGGACTGAGATCCCTTGTAGAGCCTATACGAGTTTTTATGTATGTTTGTGCGTACAAAAAGAGGCAGCTCCCAAAATGCAGAGTATGTCGCTGTGTAAGTCCCCTTGAAAGTGTCCTTCTTTAAGACCTGTTTAAAAGGGACGCCCCCTCTTTGTGTCCACTGTTCTCTGTGGCGTATGGAGGGGCTTTTGTCCCCCTCTTTCATGTGTGCTCACAATAGCCCTGGCCGTTTGAAACACAACAGTAGATGAACTGCACTGACAGTGTATTAAACTCTGATGAATTGCCTGTGCGAGGCATAGATCAATGTCCTTCAACCCCAAGCACACAGCGAAGCCCAGGCCTTGTCTTGGTTAAATGGAACAGGTTGCTGGCTCTTTTCAAAAGGGCCCGATTATATTCATGTTTTGTTGAAGCAGAAGCCTTTTTAAAATGTGTAAATCTTTGCCGTTCTAAAGAGTCCCATTTTACCCCCTTTTATTCAGGAAAGTGACATTGTGCGCCTGCTTTTTTTTGGTGCTGCTCATTTTGTGAGCTTTTTGTCACAACTTTTCTCCACTTGGAAATTAAAAATACAAATTTTCTACAACTAAAATTCCCCTTTCAGTGTTTAATAACAGCCACAACAATGCAGAGGTGTATTTGTACAGATTCAGTGGGATTCCAGAAAAACAATTCCTAGTTGTTGTTTTTTTTACCAACATATTTGAGGAGTGTGAAGCCCAGGTTAGTGGTCTGTCTGTGACCTTTTACTAACTTCTTCCCTCTGAAGGGGGCTTAGAGAGGGCTTCTGTTTACACAGATCACAGCTTCAACCACTCAGGGTGCATTCACACCAGCCCTGTTTAGTTCGCTTTAATCAAACTCTTGTCTGTTTGCCTAGAAAGTCCAGTTTGTTTGGGGAGGTGTTAATGTAAAATCGAACTCTGGTCCGTCTAAAAACTTAGGTCTCAATTTGGTTGAAGTGAACTCTGGCGCGATTCGAATGCGGTGTGACTGCGAGTGAACCAGAGACTGCTCCAAAAGCAGGAAGTGGACTACAGCGCAGGGCAAACAAACGTGCATTTCTCTTACCTTGTACAGAGCCGTCAGCCGCCTTGTGTGGAAAACAACATTCTCTATGGTCTTCTGCCTCATCTTCCACCCATGCTGAGTCCATTGTTGAAAAATAACAAAAGAGAAATCTGCTAAAATTTGATGCCACTTCATTTTGGTTTTTATTTCCAGAAGAAGTGTCTTCTTCAGAGGTTTTTGTGTCGTTTCTTTCAGTAGTTCTTGGTGCAGCGCCACCACAGGCGAGGGGGGGAACAGGTTGGCTCGGTTGACAGTGCAGTGTGAATGTGAACTGCACAAGCTGAAAATGTAAACAAATGTTCTGAATTTTGGTCCCCAATAGAACCAGGTTTACCAGACTGTCAGGCGTGAAAACGACTTTAAGAACAACATTTATGGGCTGGTGAACTCCCACAAGGGCCACATACTGCAACACATGCAACAACACTGGCACCATTACCTCCACCAACTAAGATAACAAATATTTACAGGTTGCAGGACTCCTCTGAGACAATAAATTAAGACAAGAAACATAAAATAAAACGAGAAGATGCACCTTGACTTCATGTTTGTGTTTGAATTTCTCTTACAGGTGTGGTTTAGCAACAGAAGGGCTCGATGGCGCAAGCAGGCTGGCGCCAATCAGCTAGCAGCTTTTAACCACCTTCTTCCCGGAGGATTCCCACCCACAGGGATGCCGACTTTACCCACATACCAGCTACCAGAGTCCAGCTACCCCAGCGCCACGCTATCACAGGGTAAAACTGACCCCGCCTGCAGTCTATGTAAAACATACAATTCTGCTCTTCCAAGTTTAATTCAATTGTGGTCGAAATTACATTAGAACTGTTTATTTGTGGTATGCCATCCATATTTATGTACATGCTAATAAAGTTTTTTGAGTCATGCGCTGTGTATAAAAACCACACAGCACATAGTTAGCTTTATAATCACTTTTTTGTCACAGTGGAAATGAAAGAGTATTACATTATGAGTAGTTACATTGGTGCTTTTTTAATAAAAATGTTAGCAATATCTAATTATTTTTAGGAAGGATACTTAATCAATATCTTGTGACCTGTTGAGCTTGAATTTGTTGATCTGGACGCTTCCTGTCTTGCCTAATTCAGATGTTGTTATTTTTGGTTTGTTTGTTTCAGAGGGCGGCAGCACATTGCACAGACCCCAGCCCCTGCCTCCGTCCTCCATGCACCAAGGAGGTCTTAGTGCTGACAGCAGCTCTGCTTACGGCCTGTCGTCCAATCGCCACAGCTTCTCCAGCTACTCCGATACCTTCATGAGCCCTTCAGCGTCTGGCAACCACATGAACCCAGTTGGCAACGGGCTCTCCCCACAGGTCAGACCAACAGACTCTATATGGTGCTATTACAGCGTCAATGCTCCTTTATAATAGGTAGTGTTAACATTATTCCTTCCATCACCTCCTCCTCCTCCCACTGCTATAAGGATATGTAATTATATTTCACTGAAATTAAATTTCCAAAACAGCATGTTCAGCAAAATAACCGCCAGTGTGGGCCTTTATGTTCGCCGCTTTCAGAGCTGTGGATTTATTTTAGCTACTCCAAATTGCTACATTTGTAAAACAATTGGATTAACATCAACAAATTAAAATTCATCTTGATAGCACCACAAGTGCTCAAGCTGCTCCAAAACAGCGGTTTTCTACTTTCCTGGGACGTCTAAATCCTGCACTGAGCAGTGAGAACACATGCAGATGAAATAATTAGCTCAAGCTTATAAATGCGGACCCATAATCTTCTTCACGTAATTGTCTGCAGCGAGACGACTCCAGTGCCTTGTGTGCTTTTTTTCCTTCTTCTCATGTCTCTTACTGATTTCTAGGCAGCTGCGTGTGCAGACTGACAGCTCTCTGTGCATCCCTCTGGTCACTTCACCTGCTCTTGTGCTCTCGAAGTTATTAAATTTCTACACTTAACTCTCCTCCTCATTCTTTTCTGTCTTGATGCATGAATTAAAACGAGACGGATTGTTTCCTGCCTTCTCTGGAAAGATTTGAGTTCCTGCCCGTCTTTTGAAGTCCTCCATTAATGAGCGTTTAAATGCGACTCTGTGCGTAAGGGTTGAAAGTTAAGTAGCACAGAATGAAAAATGATTTGTGTTGATGCGAATTGTGTGTACAGAGTGAATTATACACAATTACCCATCAATACTGGCCAGTCTTGCCCACCCTCAACAACAAGATGTGGTTAACAGGCAGAAAATAAGATTGAAATGGTGTGTAAAGAGTTGAAAATGAATTTCAATGCTGCATTTGTCCACAATTACCCCGTCGTTCACACGTTTTATTGGGAGTTTTTTTTTTTCTTCAAATATTTCTCAAAGCAGATTGGAAACATTCTTGGTATTACCCTCTTTCTTCAGTGAAGAAAGAATTAAGGATTTTGTGACAAAAAAGAGATTTTCTCTCCTGCTGGAGCGACGGAGGATAACATGGAGGCTCACAGCGTGTTTGATTGTTAATCGTGGCACAGGGGTTTTAACTGCTAATGCTCTCGCTGCAAACCTGCAGAAAAAAAAACACACCAGGAACATGGAGGTTTTTTATTATTAATGGGTCTCTCTAATACTGGCATGGGGTGAACTGTCGCGTTCTCCCCCTCTCTTTAGAGCCGTTCATGAATGTGTTGGAATATTAAACATTTCCTGTCATAGTGAGGATTAGGACAGGAGATTTTGAACAACTGCAAAGTGTGGATTTCCAATATTCAATTACTCAATCAAAAGGGATTGACCAATATATGTTCATTCTTTGTGTATTATTAGAAGTTTTTTAATATAAATGTATATATTTTAAGTAAACATGTGCGTGCTAAGCGTTGATCATTGACTGCTATTTATTCGGTTTGAATGCATACAGAATACTGTGTGGCATTCCTATCAGCTTCTCAGCGTGGAGATGAGTGTTCCCACTGATAGCAAAATCAGAGTTCACTCCCTGGTGCAGCACCCTGCTGTGCTGGGCAGCCCTTACTCCACAAGCGTGCAGCTGCAGGAAACTCACAACAGAGAAAATTCACTCAGCAAACACTCAGGTTCACTTCAGACGCCGCGCAGCCTTTCCTTACACTAAACCAAACGATATTCATATGGTACATTACTGACATTCTACACCTTTTCATATATTTCTTCAAGTTTTCCTTCCGCGCTATGAAAAAAATTAATGCTGTTAAACTCTAGCGAGATGGAAATGAGGACTGAATCTGTTTCCAGGAGATATACTTGTGTACTGGTGTGCGCGAGCTATTCCTTCAAGTGTCTGTCTTCGATGGGCTTGCAGTCGCTGTAAAGATTGACAAAAAATCTGTGATTTGCAGCAAATGGGCTGCGATGGCGAGGTGCCAAATCTGTAATGGAATCCTGCAGTGTTCAGCAGTCCCGACAGGAGCTCGCGTCCATCCCAATCCCATAACCCATCCCGACAGTGCACATTTTCCCATTACAGGCTGTGGAAAAGCCATCCTCACTCCAAACTGGCTGCTGTCATTGTTGGATGTACAACATGTTTGGCTGGTTGAGGGAGGCGGTTTATTAAGGGTTGGTAAGAGTGAAGCTGTGCCTGACTGGGCAAACTGTATGAAAGCAGAAGTGTGTTTTGTTGTTGGTCTTGTTTCATTTAGCAGCTCAGCAGGTGTTGGGGAAAAAAGGAAAAAAAATGCAAGGGCATGAAGGACGGACATTTAAGTATTTTTCAGCGATCCATAACTGAACATAAAGTCACCTCTCCTTAATACTTTTTTATACATTAAATTTAAGTTTTACACACTATAAATAAGTTGACGGCTTATATACTTTTTTGTTAAGTATATATGCTTTGGACTGACAAGTAATATAAGGCTCCAACCTGATCTTTTAATTGATCTGTTGGAGCCTTATATTAATAGTAAATATCTATAGATATTTACTATTAAATCATGTTCTGAAGGCAACTTGCTGGACATTGCATTGGTATGAAAACATTTAGGCTCACTTCTTTTTTACTGCATGCTTAACAGGGACACCTGTTTGGAAAAACTACACTCGATCATAAGCTGCATGTGGAGCAGAGTGGCATGCATGATTTGGTTTATATTTTAGTGTCTATTGTGTGTGTCATCGAGGTCATGGCCAGGGATCTGCAACATGCGGCTCTGGAGCCACATGCGGCTCTTTGGTCCCTCTGCAGCGGCACTTCCAGGCTTTGGCCAAAACTAACATAAAACTGAATTTTATCGGTTGTTATAACAACAAAAAGGGCTAGTTTTAACAGTTTTCCTGTAATTTCGTTTGCAAATAAGTGAATACTAGAAACATTACAAGGAGTTAAACATACTCACTTTCACTTTACGGTTTCTTTCGTCAAAGTAGGATACTTAATTTTTATACAGTTAAAAAAATCACATAGACCTGCATAGTTTATCGTTTTAGTTTTTAGAAATTGGTCAAAAACTATATTTTTTTATTATTTCCTTTATTCGTTTATTATTAATATTTTTTTCCTTCTTTACAAGAATTTTGTCTTTTATTTTGTCTTAAAATGTAAAAAATATCAATAAATGTTAAAAATCTTAAACATTTTTTTGTTTTTTAATGTCACCCCTACTGGCCAGAAAAACATCCTCCAACAAACTTAAAGTGGTCTGCAGGCCACCAGTTGAGAATCCCAGCTGTAGCAGGTATTGCTGCTCCGGACACGTTAAATGTATTGAACAAAATGGCAGAAATGGCTCTTTTGATCGTAAAGGTTGCAGACCCCTGGTCATGGCAATTCAAGGTGCTTGAACAGAAAGCAGCAAGAGTTTATTTTTTTGCTTCTTGAAGATGTTTCACCTCTTATATCTTTAGGTATTTTGGGATGAGAGCTGAAACAGCCTCAAAAAAGTGACTTTTACCGCATATTTAAGCACCAAGACACTTTATTTGGACTCTACTCTTTAAAAAAAAATAACACTGAGGAATACAAAAAGAATAAAAAGTGTATATAGAAGGATGTTCAGATGTATTATAGAATGATCAGAGTAGGCTGATCTCTGTTACCCTGACAGATGTGGTGGATAGATTTTTATTGCAGTTCGGATGAAGGAAGTTTCAAAGTTTCATAAGAAACTTTTTTCTTTCTGTTTTGCAGTTTTGTGAAACTGTTGTGTGTTTTGGAATGACAAGGATGTGTGTATGTAAGGAAGGCCTTTGGGCTGTGTGAGTGGGCCGGGCCTACACATACACACACACGCACACATGCACATGTATGCGGGATCAGAGGCAGAGCGGCTCTCACCCCTGCCTCCCTTTGATCTGTGTCCCCAGGCCTGCCTGCCCGCGCGGCGCTGCACCGTACCACGCACGCTGACACCATGCTCACCAGCGACTCCCCACAACTGTCTGAGAGAGATAAGCCAGGGGAGACTCCAAACTGTGCTGCTGCTCTTCCATTAGCTAGCGCAGACGCTTCTTTTAAAAATGGGATGAATTATTTTTAAGAAGCTAGCTCTGCTGTTGCCAAGAAAAAATGGAGAGGGGAAAAAATGTACAGAACAATCTGGGGCTCTGGCTCCATTCCGCCTCCCTCCCTGACTTCTAACAAGACATCCTGCACCTGAATACCAATGAGGGGGGGAGATTCGTGTAGTCCCCCACATTATTAAAACTTGGGCATTAAGCCTCTCACCGGGCACTGTGTCAGCTGGCAGCCTCCACTGACAACAAATCAAAGGGGATGAGCACATAGCCTGCATTCACAGCTCAGCCACTCGCAGAGCAAGTGGGGGAATACATACTGGTTAATTAGAACTCCCATTAAAACAAATACTGTTTCAATTTGGCAAGTATAAAAAAAGATGTAAGAGGCTTTAGAAAGAAGAGACCTGCTGTCGGCTGTTGCCAAGAAAATCCAGGGGCTGTAAATCATATCCAATGGCTATACTGTTTCTGAACAGATTATTAGCGTTTGCTGTTGTTTTGCAGCACTTACGAACTCAGAAGATAAAATTTTACCATAAATATTGCTTCTTCTTTTTTTGACACGTAGTTGTGATGCATTGGCCTTCTGCACGGTGAGTTTGTTCTTGCCGCTTGCAGACACAGCTGTTTCAGCTGCTGCTGCTGCAGATAGTAAATAATAATTAAGCTTCTGCGTCTGAAGCAGAGGTTTCAACGTGCTCTGGTGCAGCGTACTGTGATCAGAGTTGCAGCTTTAAATGTAGGCCTCCTCTGGTGGTGCTGCAGTTTTCAACCGTCTGTGCACCTGAGCCATTTGTTGCTCCGTCTTTTGAGTCTCCTGAGCCGACGAGTGCTGCCATTTTTTTGTTCGTTCCAAAATATTTCTGGTTGGCTCTCGGT